TTAAGTGAGGTTTTTTATGGACTCTGCCTTTTTTCCCCGGTAAAATGTCTTTTTTTATTTTATTAGTTTTTAGATCAAGTAAAAACCTAAAATATCAATTATTTTTTATTAGCTTACAAATAAAATTACACAGAAGCTAATTTTTACAAAACAACCTCACCACCAAGACCTAATATTGACCCTTAAAAAGTCTAGGGGATTGAACTAAAATTAAAAATACTGTTTGGTGTTGATATTTTCGTTTAGAAAATAATTATAGTTCTCGTTAACAAAAGGCTCAATTTTTGTTCTTTTTTCGTGCACGAAAATATCACATACAGTCAACTCTCGATATCTTAAATACTTGATATCTCGAACTTTTTTGAATCCAGTCGAACCCTTATTTATGGATTATACTCTCGATAACTCGAACATTCTCTATCTCGAACTAATTAATCGGTCCCTAAATAAATAATTAATCGGAGGTTTGAGATATCGAGAGTTGTCTATTTAGACAACTCTCGAGGACTAGAACTACTACTATAATTATTTAATTATAGTAGTAGTTCTAGTCCTCGTTAACGAAAGGCTTTAATTTTTATTATAAATCTTTTATTCAAAAATATCACAGTTGATGACAAAGTTCAGTTTATTTTTTATTTAAAGGTTAACCTATTAAATACCTGTATAACTATACCTAAACAGGTGTCACAAAACTGTAAGCACAAAAAGTTATTTAATGCAAAGTTTCTTTCCTGATAAAAAAGGGGCTTTAAAATTTTATAGGTTTTCAAACAATTTAGTATTTATTTGATCTGAATTTTTATTTTCATACCCTGACTAATAGTCAAAAAATATATTCAATATCTTGTGATTATTAATTATATAAACTGTTGTATATTAAGTGAAGCAAAGAAGAAACATATTAAAGATTTTAAATTTGTCAAGAAACACTAAGAAAAAAACAATTAAAAACAAAATTTAAATAAAAAAAGAAGTCTATTTGTTCTTCATCTTCAGAATCAATATTTTCATGAAATGTCTTGATAACCTCCTGATTGTATGGCAAAGAATTGTAAAACTGAGGATTGGATGTAAACCTTTTTAATACTTGTAAATCTCTGTACTTTGCCACAGAGATGCAAAGTTTTGCATTATACAGAATGGGGATCTCACTATTTATAGTATTCTTCCTATTACTTTTTAAATTAGTTTTCAACAATAATCCTTTCCACAAATCACGATGAAATACAATGCCACTTCAGTCTCCTCTGAAACAAATTTCACAAAGAGGACGAGTTGGAATTGGACATTTATTCTTATAAAACCATACCTTGCGTTAATTCTACAACATAAAACGGAGTTTTTTACGAGCATTTTTGAATGTTTTAATCCACTCTGATGGATCACTAGTGGGTGTTTTGCAATTAATTAATCCCATATTTTTATCACATTCCATAAAAGAATGACCACGTTCTAGAAATGTAACTTTAATAAAGTCAAACCTTTTTTTTTCATGGGAAATTTTTTTTCATGTCTTTTCGGGGAGGTGTGTAATGTATAATTAAAAAAATTAATTAAGTTCCATCAAACTATAAAAGTACATCCAATTTTTTTTTTGATTTGAATTCAGATAAAATGTATAATAAAATTGTTTATAAAGTTAAAAAGTGTAAAATGTCAAAATTTTCAAAATGTGACCCTGCCGTTTTCTTCCCGTGTGTAAACCTCTCTATAGTTTGCACTCTAGAAATTCGACTGGAGAATGACACTTTTTTTTTCTGGTTTGTTTAACGAGTTATCTTCAGACATTATAACTAACATTTTTTTTGCTTAAAAAAACTAAACAACCACTTTTTTTATAGCAGCATTGACGTACACTTTACTAATTTTAATACTTTTTATACTTTTTGTTATTTTCGGATAATTATAATTTCGCTTTTAAGTTTTAATTTTTAAACAGGATACATGTTGATAACAGTTTTTATAACTGAAATAAAAAAGGTATATAAATTTTTTATCGTAGAAGAAAGTAGAGTTTTGGTAAGGGCTTTGTGTTAAGGCCATTACAATTTTCTTGAAATCCTGCCCGTATAATATCATAATACTTATTGTAAATAATATTATACCGCAAATAAAATAAAATAAATAAATAAATTTCAACAATAACATTGAAGATTAGAGGTAACACCGTAACTAAATTAATAAAACAAAGTTAAAACATTCTGTGACATATTTTATATAATTGAATTTTAGTTTAAAAGAAGCATTAATAATAGGATATGTTAAAATTATCAGTAATAACACCTATTTCAATTCATTTTTAAACTGTTATGTACAAACTTTTTTCGTATTTACAATCTTAGGAAACTTTTTTCACAAATAAAGTCTACGATATTGAATTGAATATGCAATTTTTTTGAAATATATTTAAAGACAATGCAGTTATTACCTGAAAACTTTGTCGGGTATTGAACAAATGAACTACTTTGTCAAAATAGGACTGAATTATTTTAGGAGATAGTTCCATTTTTGTTTTATACATGAGCATTAAAACTTGGCGTAAGTTAATTTTATAGACATTTAATGCACCTTGTATACGCAGAAGAGGCTCCATGGTACAATTTTATCAGCTCTCAATAACATTCTGCACGCGTGTTTTTATTTAATGCTTGGTTTAATTAAGGCAATTTAAAAGTTATTCGAATTCTTTTTTGGGGGGAATTAGCATGGTTTTATTAGCGTATTATGTTCAAATAAGAGCTTTAGTTGGTACAATTTTTTTTTGCTTCAGTTTTTTTAACATTTAAAGAAAGTTTTCTTTTTTATATGCACTTTTTAAAGCTATTTTTCCTACCCCCTAATAGTGAATCTAAAATTTTAGAGTCTTTAGATTACTTTCGCTCGGCGTAAACATGAATTTTGTTAAAATCTTTTGAAAAAGTGCCTTAATTTACTAAAGATCTTAGTTCTAATTGGTTCTGACGTACATTAACTATATATAATTGTCAAAATACAATATTTCTGTCAATTTTCACAAAAAATACTTGAATTTCCGACCAAGAAAGAGATTATAATTAAGAAAAATTTCAAATAAACGATCAGAACAGATCATATTATTAAACTGATATTCATTTTACCAAAGCGACATATTTATTCAAAATTTTGTTCAAATTTGAACAAGCAATTTTAAAAATATTTAAAAAAAAAAAAAAAAAAAAAAAGAATCTTTGGTCTGGGTTTTTCGCTATAAGCATTTGTATTTTATGATACCGGAAAATTTATTACTTTTTTCGTCTCTTCATAATTCACAGATAACGGAAATATGTCGTAGTCTACAAAACATACAGACGCTATAATATTTTAAAATTGCCTTAATTACAATATGGAAGTATAAAACAGATGGAAGTTCATCGAGCCGCAAACATCAAAGCAATTTCAAGTCGTTTCGGGAGTATGCTTGTAACCGACAATTAAAAAAAAAACAAGTTTCACTGGATAAAAAAACAACAAAATTCACTGAAATGATCTTTATTAAAACATTACAAAATGAATTATTCTAGGAATATGTTGCAAATTTTTAACCATTAGTATTTGCAATTATTCAACAAAAGGTTTATTAAAACTCGGTAATTAAATAGAACCACTTGATTTTAAAAGCATATGTTAGTTTAAGCTTCTTTTCTTGCTTCAAGTCATAACACGACGTTTGATAAAAAAGACAACTAAAACAATTTTTAAAAAATCAAAAAATTGTTTTTTAAGTAACTAAAGTTTAAAGTTTTATTAGCTGTATATGATAACTCCATTCATTCTTGTAGTACTCTATTCATTTAATACAAAGTTTATAAAAAAGTTGTTGTTTGCCGTTACGTTGCGCCATTTTTAATGTTTTTCTTGAATATTATTGGCGAACCTTCAAAATACTATATTTTTAAATTATTATAAACATGTTTATTTGCGTCAACGTTTAAAAATTAAGCGTTTAAGTACAGTCTTGATGTCGTTTTCTTATTGTTTACGAAACAAAAGGTTACAAGCATAGTCCCGAAGAATTTCAATGCGGTTGAACTTCCATCTGTTTTATACTTCCATGATTACAACGAGTAAAATTTTGGTTAAAACGCAATTTTTATTAACTTTAACTCAAAGTTATCCAATCAAAATTTAAATTGCATAAGTTTCAATTTAATATAATACAAGTTTTAATGTAATATTCAACGACATTCTTGAGAAAAATATTCCCAAATGATCACGTTAAAAAAAAAATCCGAGATTTTTTATATTTATCATGTATGAAACTCTAAATTTGCCTTACTTGTATAGTGGGTGTTTAATATATATATATAATAATATAATAATAAAATTGCGTAACTTTACATTTTCAATTTTGTATGATTAAATAAAACAAATGAAATAAATAAATTGTGCTAGTTCGTAATAAATTTAAGTCCGTAGATAATTAAAAACGTTTTGATTCAGATTTGAACTGTTCAAGTGTATTTTTCTTGATAGTAAGAATCTAAATGCACTTACATTCATCAAATAATAGTTAGGTAGATAATTCGTCAGAATTTATGCAATTATCTATCGATACCAGAAAATCGCTAAAAACAGTTTGGGTTTTGGAAATTTTAATAGCAAGTTTTCCAGAAAGACTGAAGCTACATTCAAATTAATTGTACTCAAAACGAAATGTTTTTATAACATTTTTATCATGTTCTGATTTGTTTTTCACTTTGCTTTCTGTTTAGTGTAACACATATATAAAATACAATGTTATATAACAAACATATTTATTTCCTAAATATTCAAATGATTTATAAATTATAACAATCAATCAGTAAACAGTATTATAAATAATTAAAATGTAAACTTTTGAAGTAATGAATGCATCACCTTTATCACTCACTTTGACATATATATATGTATATATATATATATATATATATATATATATATATATATATATATATATATATATATATATATATATATATATATATATATATATACACATGCATGTATAGAGTGAATAAAAGTATATCACAATTGCAAAAGAAGAGCCATTTATTTATTCTTTAACTTCGTTTCTTAAAAAATATTTTTTTCTTCTTTAAAACAACTTGTAAATTTTAACTAAATATTTATATCATTTTTTCGTGATAAAATGGACAATGTTGTTGCAAATACTAGAAGTGAAAAACTCAACCAACCCAACAAGTATGAATACCCCAACGCACAATGGTAATTAAAATCGGTATAAACTCGATTTTTACTGTAGTAGAGTAACAATGCAGCGACTTTTAGAACATCTGTATGTTAAAAATAAAAATTATACTTATATTATAATGCAATAGCGATTTATAACAAAACACTTTACAATTATAAGAATATGTTTAGCTTTAAATAAACTTAATTACTTTAACGAAAAATGACTTGAATATGAACGTGAAATGGTGAATTATTTATATGATTGGATAAAGATTTAAAATGTAAGCGTCACGTTTTATATCCAAAGCACTAGCTCAATAACATCAAATATAATTAATTACTAATTATTTTATTATTTATAATTAATATAATTAATTAATTATTATCAGACTAATTTTCCACTTAAAAGTTTACTAGAACTGATAAACTTTTTTAACTAATTATTTTTAATTTATTTTATTATAACTAATTTTCGAAAATGTTTTTTATAAAATGATGAGATAAACAAAACGCCATCAAATACGTTTTTGTGGAAAGAGTCTTTTCTCAATGAAACGTTACTAAAATAAAATTCACAATATTTAGTACAGCAAACCATTTTTGTTAATCAAAAAAAAGGAAAAAAAAAGAAAATTTTATTTCTCTATAAAGGGGAAAACGGGGCCACATGACGAACGTTTTGAAAGCCCTGAGTTATTGCAAAACTATCAGTCGTGAAGCAATAATACTTTCTGAGTATGTTTATGTTATTAAAATGATTTATTGCCTGCATAAATTTTCTGTTTGCAAATATAACAATTTGAAATAAAAATTAAAATAAAAAGTTCATAAATTTGTCATCTGGTCACGTGACCAGGGCAAGATGACTTATTATTCAATTTTTACCTCCAATTTTATAAAATTTTAAAAACTACCAATAATTCAAACTAAAGTAACGAAAAATAAACACAAATCACCAAAAACTACTTCTAAAGAAGTTAAACTTGAAGGACACCATCCGTTATGAGAAACCGAAAGTGAGGAATTTTTTTTAGGCGCAAAAAGTTAACTTATGCGTATAAAATTGAGTTAATAATATTTCAAAGAACCAATTGGTATTTTAAAATACAAAATGCAAATACAGTTTCATTCTCACCCATTTTTAAGATTTTTTGTTGAGTTGTTATATAAAAACCCATCTTGCCCCATTCGCCATGTTGCCCCGCTTTCCCCTACTCTATAATTGTTGAAATTAAAAATGATTATTTGAAAATCTTATTGCTGTTAATACAAATTACAATTTATTTTTTAAATTTGTAGTTTAAAACTATTTTTAACATGTTTTATAAATATTGATATATATGCAGATTTTATGATTTATTCGCGTTAATAATTTTATTGGATTTTACAGTAAAAGTATATTGAACATAGAAAACCTTTCTTAAATTACTCACGGTCTTTAAATTTTATGATTAATGCTTACGGCAATAATGAGGAATACTCTTTAGTGGTGTAAATGTATACAATGGTGTAAATGTATACAATGGTGGAAAAGCTAATCAAAATAAAAATACTTTTATGAAAGAAATCCTTAAAGTATGTTAAATCAAAATTATGTTACATTTTTTTCACTCTAATTTTTGACGTAATAGTTACATAGAAATTGCTAAATTTATTTATTTATTGTTTTGATTTAATATATATATATATATATATATATATATATATATATATATATATATATATATATATATATATATATATATATATATATATATATATATATATATATATATATATATATATATATATATATATATATATATATATATATATATATATATATTGATGGTTAAGAACTCAAAGGGAATACGTCAACTAACCATTGTTTTGAAAAATCTGAATTTGAACTTTTGAAAACATACAATAATTCATGATATTTATTTTTTCTCATGGTTTTTAACCAAATGCATTCCTCAATTTATTCTGTCTTGTTTTTTACTATTTTATTTTCATTTCTTTTACATACTTGAATACCTAATTTGTTTAATGTTTACCTTATGTTTAATGTTGCACATATTCACTTTGTGCTCTTAACCATCGATATTTATTCATATATATATATATATATATATATATATATATATATATATATATATATATATATATATATATATATATATATACATAATATATATATACATACATATATATATATATATATATATATATATATATATATATATATATATATATATATATATATATATATATACATATGTGTGTGTGTGAGTGTGTGTGTGTGTGTAATACCTTAAAACCACTATAAAATATAAACCCCTTACGTATTATTTTTAATCTTTCATTTAAAAATGGCGTTTTTCCTGATCTCTTGAAACAAGCAAGAGTAGTTCCAATATTTAAGGATGGTGGTATCTCAAAGTTATCTAATTACAAACCTATTTCAATAAGCCCATGTTTTTCTAAAATTCTAGAGCGAATAATGCATAATAGGCTTTACAATTATCTCACAACTCACAAAGTTTTAAATAATAATCAATACGGATTTAGAAAAGGACACTCGACAGAACATGCAGTAATTAAATTAGTTAAAGAAATATCAAATGGGTTTTAAAAACAACCAATATACTCTTGGAGTGTTTATTAACCTCTCTAAGGCCTTTGATACTGTGGACCATGATATTCTTATTTACAAACTTGAAATTTATGGAATCAAAAATAATAATTTTAAATGGTTTTGTTCCTATCTTAAAAATCGCAAACAATGCGTATCTTTTGACAAAACCTACACTAAATTAGAAAACATTACCTGCGGACTTCCACAGGGGTCTATTCTAGGGCATTTGTTGTTTATTATTTATATCAACGATGTTTACTTATCATCTAGTATACTAAACTTTAATCTTTTTGCTGATGGCACTCAAGTTTTTTATACTCACTCTAACATTAAGACAATCTTTACCACTTGATAACCTTAATGAATGGTTTAAAGCCAACAAACTCTCTCTGAATCCTACTAACAGCAAATATACTCTCTTTTCTAAATCCTCTAAATCTGACACGTTGCCTTTAAAACTCCCGGATATTTTAAGAGAAAAAACCAAATTGTAACGGACATACAGTGTTAAATTCTTAGGCGTTTTAATCGATGAGCAAATAAATTGGAAAGAGCATATTAATCTAATAGAAAATAAAACTTCAAAAACTATTGGAATCATGCATAAAATTAGATATATGTTGGATAAAAACTGTTTAAAATCATAGCTATATTATTTATTGTAACATTGCTTGGGCAAGCGCTTATCCGTCAAGATTAACTTGTATCTTATAAAAACAAAAACAAGCAAGCCGCCCTATATTAAATGCTAATAATTACACCAGTGCCAATCCACTGCTTCGTAAGCTTGGAGTGCTGAATGTTTACCAATTAAATATTTATAATATTCTTTTATTCATGTTTAGATTAAAATATCATATGCTACCTAACATTTTTGAAGATCTTTTCTTTATTATAGATCATAAATATCAAACAAAGCATTCTTTGCTTAATTATCAGGTACCAAAAACTTTGTTAAAACAATCTGAATTCTCAATAACTTACCGAGGGCCACATTTGTGGAACTCATTTCTCCCAAATAATAGTAAAACTACAACTTCAATCCAAACTTTTAAAAGTATCTTTTAAAAAAACAGTTACTTGATTATGACGTATCTCAAATACTATTTTATTTTTAATTTTTATTTTGTTCTCTCTTATTTTTTATTTCTTTAACTTTTTTTTTGTTAAAAAGCGACATTACACTTCATATCATTACTTATCTTTATATTTGTATTGTATTGTATATATATGTATTTGTGTATATGTATGTATATATATGTATATATATATATATATATATATATATATATATATATATATATATATATATATATATATATATATATATATATATATATATATATATATATATATATATATATATATATATATATAAATATATGTATTTTCTTATATGATGGGTAATTTTTTTTTTGTTTGATATGTAAATGATATAACGGGGCTGGATGATAAGACTTTTGTCTTCTGCCTGCTCCTGTCATATCTTAACTCAAAATGAATATATATATTTATCTACTATAGCATATTTATATATGCGCAATTGCTCACTTTTTTTGCTAGCCTAAATTAAGTGAGCATTTTTAGAAAACGATGAGGGTAAACGAAGAATAATGAATGAAAATGTTGCTGACCCATACCAAACCCTCAGTCGATGTAGCAGCACTCCACGGCGAGTCAGGCTATTTGTCAGTCGATGTATGTACTGAAGCCCCCGGCAGCAGGCTATTTGACATTAGGTGAGTATGACATCATCATGCTCACTTAACTCAGCAGTATAAGATATATTGTAAATAATTTATTATAACGATGACGAAAATGTAAAAAAAAAAATAAAATAAAATTATTGTTGTTATAATTATATAATTGCTTTTATATTATCAAAAATAAATTGCTACTTAAAATAAAACTTTAAATAAAATATACTTGCAAATAAAACAGTTGCCGTGGTAAAATCTCTATAACGTCCATTGTATATCCTTGATAAAAAAGTCATTACAAGAGCAAAGCATAAACAAATAACACATAAAGAAAGCAGAGCACGCGTCACCAGTAAATCATCTAAAAAAAAATGTTGTCTTCTTATAAAGCAATATTTAAAATACAAGAAACATAATTATCTCGGAAAAAGATTACTTTTTTTCACAAACGTTATTATATTTTGTAACAAAACATATTTGTATGCATACAATTTATTCAAATATTTGTGATGCTATTTAATTTCATACATACACTGTATTTATGTATTGCATTGTAATACATTTAAACAAAAGCGCCACTAGTACTTTTTGATATTTCGGATATGATACTTTTAGGCATTTTGCAAAAAATTTCAGGTGATTGGTTCATGAAAACAAAAGTACCCAATTTTATATTCACTCACCCAGCCAAAATGCGAGAGCAATCAGTTAAAAATAAAATGTTTACTATCTAATACTAAATTCACATTTATTCACACATTTTAATATTGACACGTTTTTTTTATCTAATAATCTTTTAGTTTAAGCAACTTTTTACAAAAAACTCTCACTTAACATCTTTAATGTATGCATGTGTACTTATGTATGCATGTGCACTAATGTATGCATATGTACTAATTTATGCATGTGTACTATATCAAAAAGTTAAATTTATTACTTAATTAATTTTGTATAAAGTAGTTTAGAGAATGTAATTGTTAAAAAAGTAAATCATGTAGCTGTCGTTATCTAATCATAGTTCAATATCTGAACGTTAAAACTGTTCCGTGGTTAAACAATCGTTTACACTGTTTTGATTTGATTCTTATAATTGTTAACATATCGTATGTTATCGTATATATCGTATGTTATCGTATATATCGTATGTTATCGTAAATATCGTATGTTATCGTAAATATCGTATGTTATCGTAAATATCGTATGTTATCGTAAATATCGTATGTTATCGTAAATATCGCCTGTTTCCAATATATTAATCTTTACAGTGTAAGCTTTTTATTTCATGTATATTATTATCCTTCGAATGCTGCTCCACTCTGCTCTCGTTGTATCAATGTCTTAGAATATTTGCAGTAACGTTTATATTCGGTTTGTTTTCTTTATGTATATGTATGTTATATGTTATATATGTTATAAATCCTATATGTTATATAACTTATGAGTAAATTAATTAAAACTATTATTAAAATTACTGCTACTTTATTTATTTATTTCTAATAGTTTATATACATAGTTATTATATTAAACCTTTTACTTGTTTTTCTTTCAGCGGCGATTTCATGACAAATGCTTCTTTTCTCTTCAATATTTACATGTCCCAAAGGCGTAAACTCAAGTAAGCTCTGGTTATTAAGCATATTGAGAAAGGTTGCGTTTAAACGATCAACAGAAATCAGACCGCATTCTAACCATAGTCCTCTGCTATAAATAACTGTTTGAGAGATTGAAACTTGGTCGAACCAATGATTTGTGAACAAAGCAGTGCAGCTTAAAGCAATCCCCATTAAAACTAATCCAAGTGAAACAGTTTGATAGGTAATATTTGCATCGGCCTTCATTGTATGAGCAATACTTGTTTGAGAAAATAACTAGATCAACTAAACAATACCAAAAACTAATCTAAGTGTTTGCTTAAAACACGTTTTACGTCGTAGTTGTCGGTTTATTGCCGGTTGTCGGGTCAATGTTGTTAATATTATACTTCCGGGAAACTCATAAATGTAAATCCGAAAGATCAAAGTTTCTAGTTATTATGTTTTGTTGATATTAGGTTTTTAAAAAAGCATTAAATTGTCAAACCTTTAAACATTAAAAAATCAACAATACTTTCGAAAATATATTTCAGGTTGTTTTTAAAAGTAAAAAAACAAAAGATCTCCAAGTTTTTTTGCTGTAATTTTTAACTTAGATTATTTATTACTTTAAAAGCACTCGAGTTGAAATTAATTATTAAACAGTTTTATCAACAACTTCAGATTGTAAACAGAGAATTTTAGAAAAGGCAACGATCAATAAACATTAAATAAGAAAATAAAAATGCTGACAAAATATAAAATGTTTTATTTATTTGTTTATAATATAAAGTTCGTTTTTCATTAATTAAAGAATTGAATTTCAATTTCTACAGTCGGTTTTACAAGAGGAAATGCTAAAATCGCTAACTTTAAAAAAAAAGAATAATCAAGTCTTTATTAACATGAGGAAATCTTTTTTTTTGAACAGCTTTATACAATATAAAATTTTGTCATGAATAAAAAAAAACAGACTTTCAAATAAAATTAAAATTTTTATTTTTTATTTTTGTTAGTTTCTAAACACGTAGAGTAATGTTAAAGATGTTCGGTTGTAAATTGTTCTTTTAAGTTTTTTCTTCTAAATTTGAAGAAATATCATAGAATGTATTGCGATTAAAATCGATAAATCCAAAAAACTATTTTCTTTAAAAAATCAATTAGAACAAATAATCGATAAGATCGTAAGTCGAGGAACAACTTTTAAATTTGAAAAAAATTAAAAAGATTAGTTTTGTTCTTCTAATAAAGAAACTGCAATGTCATAAATTTTTGAGAGTGATGAGGGTTAAGTTCTAGTCTGCAGATGGTTTGCACACATCGAACGATTTGAGATATTACTTTTTTGATAAAACGTTAATGTTAATCGACAAACAGCTTAAATATGCAATATTTATAAAACAGTGTTTAGCTTTATATATATATATATATATATATATATATATATATATATATATATATATATATATATATATATATATATATATATATATATATATATATATATATATATATATATATAAATATATATATATATATGTATATATATATATATATGTATACATATATATATATATATATATATATATATATATATATATATATATATATATATATATATATAACAACAATATATATTTTACAACTTATATTTTTTTAAGACATAGTATAAACTGTAGGTTTATACCTTTACATAAAACCAGGCTTCAATAAGCAGAAATTAAAGAATTAATCTTTTATGAATTTCCCAAAACATCATAACACAACAACAAAACAACATAACAAAACAACATAACACAACAACAAAACAACATAACAAAACAACATAACACAACAACAAAACAACATAACAAAACAACATAACACAACAACAAAACAACATAACAAAACAACATAACAAAGCAACAAACCACAACAACAAAACAACATAATAAAGCAACATAATACTACAACAAAACAACATAACGAAACAACATAACACGACAACAAAACAACATTACGCAACGACAAAACAGCATAACACGACGGGTAAACGGCATAACACAACAAAAACAAAAAATAACACAACAACAAAACAACATAACAAAACAACATAATAAAATAACATAACAAATCAACAAAATAACATAACACATTAACCAAACAACATGACCCAGATATTTTCCACTTCTAATGTTATGAAATATTCTGATATAAATAAAATTTCGTTTTTACTTTTTCACTTGATTTTTAAAAAGCATCCTAAAGTACTGTTCACGTTATTTGACCTTACTAAAGTCACTCAAGTACCTAGCCACAGACCACCTAGTTAGGGGCCATAAATTTTTTAAAATTGTTTTTTTTTTTTACTTAACCCATTCAGATATAGCGGCTCCATTTGAAACCATAAGAATTTTTCAGCTCTCTCAGTATTCATTTACATTTTGAGTTTTAAGGTTCAATTGTTATTTGCTTACTTAATTGGTTTACATTTATTTATAGAAATTTATTGCTAAATATTATACCCTTAGTAGAATATATTCTACATATTCTAATGCAAAATTCGTGCAAATCATGATTTTTTTTTACCCAATACAAAATACAAGGGCCTGAATCGTTAACGTGTTATTTTATTATAACACAGTTTTCATATAATTTGTTATTTTAAAGTTATCTTATTATCTTACACTTTTTGAGAAAATTTAGACAAAATAGTTTAAATTTACTTTATAATTATTGCTAGCTTAAGCAATTTAATAAATTATATTATTATTCAACTAACTTCATTATATGTTAATAACTGCTTTAGCAGCATCTCTTAAAATAAATTGGTTTTTAATAATCTTGAAAGAAACTCACAATAAAATCACCACTTTAAGTACAATGCATAAACGTTGATATTCAACTTTAAAAAATGATAAAATGCTATATATTTGCAGCAGGCACAAAAGTAAAAGTTGCGACCAACTTTTTGCGGCAACAATTTGGTTATTAAAGTTTACTTTAACAACATTAGCCTCAAATAGTTTTTTTGGTAAAAAACCAAAAAAACTATTTGAGGCTAATGTTGCAAGGACTCGTTTTAAATAAACACAACTTGCAATCAAATTACGAGATAAGTATCTTAAAAAAATCTTATGTTTAATCTAACTTTATAACTGTTTTAAACTTTTGTTTTTTATTTTTAATTTAATACTTTTTAATGGGTTAAGGACTTTTTGAACTTCGTTTTGTTCACTTTAAGCCATTCGTTCAGAACTGAAATAATTTTATAAAATATTAATAAAAGTTTGTCTTTTTTTTATTCAACTAAACATCTCAACATATAAGTCTCTAATTTAGTTTGTTAGTTTCTAACTTAGTTTGTTAGTTTCTAAATAAGTTATGAGGATCTTTGTCTGAGTTCGTCATGAGCAAGACGTTTCCGTCCTACTTTTTAAACGTATGACGAACTATAAAAACTGTTTTAGCAGACAATTATTATTTAAATACCAGAATTTGTAAATGTCTTTGTCTTTTTTTAATGTTTTATGTTCTTTACAAGAACACCAAGTTGTAATAGGGACCTCTATAAGAGAATCAGGCTTTTTAGAATTCCTCGAAAATTGACTCTCTCAGAAGATTAACGTATTATTCGAAAATTTGAGCATGCGGTATTGCTGATGCATTGAAAAATAAAATAACTTTTATATAAAAAAAATAATAAAAAACGTTTTTAAGATTTTTAGGTTTTAAGATAAACAAAATTTAATTTTGTATTTTATTTCATTGAAAAATAAATACAAACTAAGTAAAAATATTTAAAAACAAATTGTTTATTCTAACAATAACATTACCAACAAACTTGTATAAAAAAGCTCACTACCTAAATTAAGAAAATGTTTAGAACTTAGTGTCAGTTATAAAAAAAAACAGAAATTGTTGCAGATAAATATTCTCTACCATGTTGTAATTAAACACTTGTCAACTAGTTTTTTTGATTCTTTTAACTTCCTAAAAGTAGTTATCCTAATGCAACATATTTAATAATATTTATAAAAATATGTTGTAAATATTTATAAAAATATATTGTAAATATTTCGCTGATACAAGCAAATTAGTGAATTAATAGCATGTTGTAGTCATTTATAAAAATATTTTTTAATGTAAGTTTAATTTTTTTTTTTAAGTTATATATTTTATTTATTACAGTGAACTTGACGTGAATCTTAAACATTAACAGGATGTTACTGATAATAATAAAAAACGTTAAAATGTTTGAACAATTTAAAAATGTAATTTAGTTTTCAAGATAATCTAGTTTTATAAAATAAAGTTCACCTGCGTAACTTTTATAAGCATCATGTTTTAAAATGATTTATTTTGAAAAAAACAAATTAACATTATGAGCTAAAACAAATTTCATCTTTCTTATTATAATCTATATGAATTAATTTACTTTAAAACCTGACCTACAGAGGCTTCCGTTTAACATAGTGTTTAAACAATACACATAGTATTTAACATATGTGGTTCTTTTCGTTTCATTTATTTTTATTTTTAGTTTAATATAGCCAGAACGCAGCGGAACACCGTTCCGGTTAGCTTAAAAATCACTTATGGAACAGCTTTCCGTAATTTCCTATATTAAAATATTTTTAAAAGTTCTACTCTTTAAGACCTTATGTTTTGTTTTTTCTAACAGGATACGATTCGCCGTAACAACCAAGGTGTGTATATAATTTTATTCAAGATCTAGGGAAGTGTTGTATACATATATATATATATATATATATATATATATATATATATATATATATATATATATTTCCGCAATAAAAAATCATTTATTTGATAATAACCAAATACTATTGTAAGCCAAGTAAGAAACTGAACCAAGTAGAAAGAATAACTCAACATATCGATGTGTAGAGTTGTCATTCTCCTCATTTTTCCGTAGGTGAGCGCGGAGCTAAATTAATACACGGATTTATTGCCTCAGTTCCGTTCCGCATATTATCTCAAAATTGTTTAGAAAAGTAAATATTTCTAGAATTTGAGAAGATTTGAGAAAAAATTTGAGAAGCAGAATATGACATATTGATATTACTTTGATATCAAATCTTTGATATAAAGTTTTTTAACGCTTTTTTTTAATAGTTTAAAAAGTTTTTTAATGTCTTTCCTATACAAACTTATCACTAACTTATGTTCTAAATAATTATCTTACTAAACGATTTTGTGATAATTTATGGAACGGAACTATAAACCGAGACTATAAAGCCGTGTATTGAAAAATGTAATGAAAATTTCTTAAAAATTTCACTGCGTTCTTCTACGGAAAAAAGAGGAGAGTGGCAACACTATTAATGTGTAACCTAAAGTAAGAGACTGAACGAAAATAGAAAGAGTACTTGAACGTATTAAGGTGTAAGTTCAAGTTTAATATCAAGTTAACTCATACCTTTAGACTTTCGTTTTCTATATTTTTTATGTCAACTGAGGATGTAATAAGAAATGTTGTGGAAATTAAAACCTGGATAAAATCTCTTTAAATGACTTCATCATGGTGATGGCAACTATTTTTTTGTTGTTTTTTCTGTTTGTTAAAGTTTATAAAGAAGAAAATGTAAAAAAGAAATTACAATAATAGAAAATCCTGGCCGGAGCAAGAAGAAGACAGACTTGTCTTATCACCGAGACCCGTAACATTGATGTTTTCGAACGTTTATAAAAATTTACATAATTAATAAGTGATTAATAAAACAGTATAAGTACATACAAAATTTCAGCAATAAAATAAATTTTTGTTAACAATCTTCCAGCGGAATAATTTAAAAAAATAAAATAAGACAAAAGTGAGAAAATCATAAAAGTTATCAATCACAGAAAATGTTTTAAGTTTCAATAAAGTAGTTAGGGCTGATTAATAAATATCAACGAAAACACAAAACAAAAAAAGAAAACAATTAGAAAAAAAATTGTTTTCCTTTTTTGTTTTTAAATTGTTTTTAAAAAAATTATTTGAAATCTATTATATTGAAATCCATGCTTAGTAAATACCGTTTTGAATCAGCCTTGAAATTTTCCATAGTGCAGTTAAAATGAAGTCTTGTTTTTCATTAAAAATATGAAGAAATTTTTTCAAAAAAAAGGACCCGATATTGAATTTGGTACGAGCTTGATTTAAGATGGTTAATGGGAATGACAAAGTTATTCACTGAAAATTTGTTAGATTTCATTAAAATAAGATTGAAATGTCACTGGAGATAATCCGCATTTTGCTTTAAACAAAAAATAATTTTTAAAAAATAATTTTTATAAAAATAATTTTTTTCTTGATGAATATTAATCTTATAAATATTTAAATGCTGACGTAAAAGAAGTTTGCAATGGGCAATCCTGTTTGCCCCAAATATTATCCTGCAAGCATGTTTTTGCTTACTATAGTAATTAAATTGCTCCCATTTGTAGTTATTAAAGTGCTCCCAGAGGTCCTCACTCCCCCACCCTCTCACCCACACACCCACACACACATACACACACCTCTCCTTTTTATAAATTAAAGAACTTTTAGTTTTGAAAAAAGTTGTATAAATTAAGAAATACTTTTAAAATTAAAGTTTACTTTTAAAATTGATCTTATAACCCTCCCCTTCCTAATACTTTATTGAATCCGTTTTGCAAATCCCTCCTCCCCATAATCAACCTTATATACTTTATAGGATCCCAAAGCTTTTGGTTTGAGCACCGAACTCTAATTTTGAAGAAATATAAATGTCTTCAAAAATAAAATAATAGTATAAATGAAAAAATTCATTTCATTATTTTAGCATCAAAATTTCGCGCTATGATAATATTTTAACAACGCAAAAAAACTTGAATTTGAATTCCAATTTTGAAGAAATATAAATGTCTTATATATATATATATATATATATATATATATATATATATATTATATATATATATATATATATATATATATATATATATATATATATATATATATATATATATATATATATATATATATATACAGGGGTGGGACCGCAAAATGTGAACACTTTTCTGATTGTAATAATTAATTTTCTGTTAAATATGAACTATTTTAAATGTTCAATTTTTGTTTTTTTACATATTATATTTTACTTTGTTTACATATTCATTAGTACTTTGTCTTTCGTTTTTTATCAAATAAACTCAACTACATCTAACGAGAAAATAGTTATAATAAAACAAAAACGTTCACATTTTGCGGTCCCACCACTGTATATATATATATATATATATATATATATATATATATATATATATATATATATATATATATATATATATATATATATATATATATATATATATATATATATATATATATATATATATATATATATATATATATATATATATATATATACCCTAGTAGCAAACAATATTGGCGCAATATTGGGGCAATATTGTTTACAATATTGGCGCAATATTGTAAACTATATCGAGCCAATGTTGCAATGTGAACATTTTAACAATATTGGCGCTACAATATTGCGCCAATATTGTAAAGTCAATATTGGCCAATATTGGCGATACAATATTGCACCAATACTGTAAAGTCAATATTGGCCAATATTGGCAAAATGTTTACACTGCAACATTGGCCCGATATAGTTTATAATATTGCGCCAATATTGTATATAATATCGCGCCAATAATGGGGATATTATACTGGCCAATATCGGCCTAATATAGTTTACAATATTATCCTGATATATAATATATATAACTAAGGCAATATAATGAGTATTTTCGATTAAATTTTTATTATTAAAAAATAATAAAAAATATTGCCTTCTACAAATTTGTAATAATTAAAATTACTAACAGTTTTCTTGTTTAAGTGATACTATAATACTAGGCTGCATTATTCTTTTGAGTTAAACAGGTTATAGTCTAGGAGATGACAATAATCATAGAACACGCTTTAAGAAAAAAAAAATTCGAAATCATTAAATTTATTTGAAGTTATATGAAACAGATACAAATGAAAAAAAGAGGTATAGAGTTTTCCAAAACCAAAATATAACAAAATAAAATCAATGTTATTATAATACACGTACAAAAAAATATGTATATATATATATATATATATATATATATATATATATATATATATATATATATATATATATATATATATATATATATATATATATAAACTACTGTATTATACTCTCACTATGAGATAGTGGGCATCGACTTTCATTATATTGGTGATACTTATTTCATTGCTCAATATTGGGCGTTGCTCAGTTACGGTTCTATTTTTCTTCCATAATCTCTATTAATGGCCGTCGCCAGAAAGCTGCCAATTTTTTCTTTAATACTTTTGTCAGTAGCGATTTCGAAATGAACGAATACAACGATAAACGACTAAACGCAACTCTACAAAATGTTTTTTAAATATCATCACAATATAATTTTGAAATATATAACTTTTCACGTATAAATATTGTAAAGTAATTAGCTTTTATTAAAATATTTATTTATTAAAAGGAAATGGGATGTAGAATACAAATATTGTGCTCTACCTATAACGACCTTGCAGGACGTTTTTGTTTCATTCCATACACTGAGTATGAAAAACATACTTCTTTGGCCATTAGCTGTATTAAGATTGCCGCTGTAAGTTGTTTCTCATCTCCTCCAACCGAGTTCATATCATCCACAAGCTATTGTGTCAGTAGAACGACAGAATTAAACAGTAAAACGTACATTAGTTTAGGTGCTGGATGAGGCTGCTCTGAAGTGGCCATATATGATTAATATTGTTTTTGTTTTTTCATTGAGAGTTAGAATACACGAGTTTTCTGGGTTTTCACCATTTTAATTGCTATACCTAAAAAAAGCAGTTCTTCTCATCGGGTAAAATTGCAATTTAATTGATTTTAATGACTCTATGAGCTACATTAGTACCTCATAGAATTGATGATAATGAAAACAACAAAAACAGTTTTGGATACATTGCATGCAATGAATATAGGGTAGAGCGGGATATACCGGGACAGCGCGACATAACGGGACAGTTATGCCTGAAGCCATATATCTCAGCTAAAAAATTCTTCAAAATTTTTTTTGAGAAAAATTTAAATTTCCTAAATTATTGTAAAAAAAAATTTAATTTTAGAAATACAAATACATTAAAAGAACCAAAATGCATCATGCAAAAAACAAAATTTGCGTATTTTCTTAAGGGATACAACGACAAATGATTATCTTCTTTTAGAATCTGATTTTAAAAAAATTTTTGGAATTGAGCTTTTTGAATAGTATTATTTTCAGTAAGATGGCTTTTGTGGGGAATATCGGGACAACAAGTAAAATCAATTTGAGTAATAAATTCAAAGAAATTTTTATTTTTATAACTTAACTTCGGTTATTAACAGTGTTTAATGTAAACAAAGAAGGTAAGAAGTTATATAAAAAAGATCAATCATCCAAAACAGGATGAATTTTAGCGTAAAAAGGAACTTAGAATTAAAAAAGCTGCTGATAAATATGGCGTATTTAAGTTTGCTCTACATTGGCATATTGCTCATCAAAAATATTGCCGAATTGTTTCAGAATATTTTTTGTGTGACTTATCTGATTCATAAAATTTTTTGTTTAATTTCATATTTAATAGTAGATACCAATTTAATAATATATATTGGTTATAGTAGAGCAGATGTATTTTATAATAAAACACACAAAAAAAAATGTTTGTTTTAGCTGTTATTTCTTTTTTTGTTGTATATGGGTGTTTAATGTTTAGGCAAGTTTAATGTCTAGTCAATAGATAGTCTTCATATTTTATCACTTTCAAAGCTTTATAATTGACGAATGACTGCTGCTTTTTAAATGCCCTGTTTTGTCCCACCCACTTGCAAAATATAAAAGTTTTGCTAGTCTGACTGACTCTCTGAGTTTACCTACTAACTTGTTGAAAGGGTCAACATTTGCCGACTCACTAGTCAAAAAAGGTCAAATTCGCTAACTAAATGAGCTAAAAAATCATTGATGGGGGGTTTTATACCCTCCTTCCCCCACACACACATACACCCATCGCACCGGCTTTGATTATGACTTGTTCCAATTTATGTATTTAGAAAAAATCAAAAAGTGTTGCTTAGACCTGATGGTCAAAAGTCGGTAAAATCTTGGACTTGATTATGCAATGTAACCTCCATGCTAAGTAAACATTTTGAAAATAAAGTACAACTATTCGAAATTATCTTTTTGTTATGAAAAATAAATAATAATGAATAAGAAATTATGTTTAATGTAATAAAAATATTTTAATAATAATGATTTTATCCAAAAAGATTGAAAAACACGCAATTATTAAAATGAGAAGTTCTAAGTCAGAAAATTTTGAAATTTGTATAATCAAAATTATATTTACTGCAGATATTTATATATTTTTGTGTCCAAAGCAACTAAATAGAATTATAGGTGATGGTAATTGTTTTATAAGGGAACTATTCCTTATCATTTATTTAAATTGTAAGAGTGGTGAAACAACATGGACAACTGATGCAGAAATATTTGGAAAAATTTACAACTATCCCTAAATAATGTCACTAACTTTTGTAACTAATTTCTTTGTACTAATCTTTTTAAGATTTAGATTTTATTGCATTTTTTTTTTATTGCAAGTGTAAAAATAGTTTTTAAAAGGCACTGGGAACAAAACTTGTTTGATATCATCGCTTAAAAATCAGCAATATTGCAAATAAATTATTTTAAAAAAGTTTTATGCTGCTATGTGTAACTGTTAACTTATAACACAACTTAACTTTTAAAAGCGCTATATAAACATAACACAACTTAACTTTTATATAAACATAAAACAGTTAAAGAGTGTAAAAATCTCATATAGGGAGTAAAAATCTCTTAAGAGTTTTTTAATACGTAGTAAAAAAAAATTATCAGATTTTTACAGAGGAGTAAAACAAAAGTGGGTGTAAAAATCTCACACTGGACTTTGACTGTTGACTCCCCGTCAGGATATTTTATATTCCACTCTGAATAAAATTTTTTAGCCTCCTACAACTATTAAAAATAAAGTTTTAAAATTTTAAATTTAAATTTTTCAAAAAATATAGTATTATTAACTTTTATAACTAAAATAAATTTGCCAAAATCAACGGTTTGGCAAACAATGCCCATGGCTTCGGTTAAGGCCAAAACAAAAGCTTCGGTACACCCCTACAAACAAATAATTAAATTTGTAACTCTAAAAAATAATATTAAAAATCAGGGAGAAAACTTTGTATAGAACAATTTGTAACGCTTTCAACAAAAGACTTTACAAATTGTAAAGTCTTTTGTTGAAAGCGTTTTTTTTTTGTCGAAAATAATAGGTTTCATTGGTTTGAAGTAGTTTTGTTTGTAAGATTTTTTTATTTTTATTTATTTGAGTTTTCATGCTATATTTTTCTATACAATGTTTTTATATCCAAAGATATTGTTGGCTTAGCATAGGAACAGCCACAAATATTCATTGAGACTAATCCAAAGTAGCGTCCGTTATTGACCAACATTTTTGCGTACCGAAGTACTACTCAAGCGCTGAGTTGGCGGTGGCGGGATTTGAACCCGTATCGTTCAACAGTCCGGGTTTTTACTTTTCCTTTGACGCTCTAACCATCTGAGCTGACCTGAAAAGTTTTATATTCACGTTTTTAAAATTGTTTGAAGCATTAAATAAATTCTTGAAATTTATTTAATGGATTTGAGATATTTTTTAATTCATTTTTAAATGCACTTTAGTAAAAATTAGATATTGAAATCCTAAAAAATATATATACGAGTTTAAATTTGATGTAAAAATAAAAAAATGTTATTGCTCGGTATCTTTTTTGACATTAAATGACGTCATTTCAAATTAGAGCATGCAATCCCGTATTGATTTTCACTTCATGAATTTTGGGATTAAAAACTGTCATGTCTATTTTTAATAATCTCAGGATTATTAAAAAAAAACATTATTTACTCAAAAATACAGTTTAAAAAATGTTTTTGTAAGCATATATATGTTTATACTTATTCAATATAAATAAAAAGTATTTCTTTTCGGAGAACATTTGAAATTCGTTTTAGAAATAAGAAATTATTACTGCCTTGTTTTAAAAATAAAAAATTTTAGGAAGAATAAAGTTTTAATAAAACACCACCCCAGTATTTGGTTCGAAAAAGACGTCTTTTAAACGTTTTTTGAACATTCTAAAAGTCTTTTGAAAATTCATTAGACTTTTTTTTCCGATCAAATACCAACTGGGAAATTTGTGCTGTCATAACTTTGCGGGAATATCTGCTATCAAATAAGTATTGACGCATATTAATATTTAATTTTACCCAAAAAATTCGTCCAGTGAATAAAAATGTTCAACATCTAAACAGTAGAAGTGCTCAACCAAAGTTACGGTTACCAAAGTTACGGTTACCAAAGTTACGGCTTAACCAAAGTTCCGGTTGATCTTATTGCTGAGTTAGAAAATAACAAACCATATTTTAAAAGCAAAACTATTTGATTTAAATGTCATCAAATGGTTAATACCATCCAGCAAATTCATTTTTTTCAATTTTCATAAATTGTCCATATACTCAGACTATTCATAAAGGTAAGAGCTAGAGATCATTCATTGAGAGACCATTATCTTTATGATATCATTTTCTTGAATTTCAATCATTATGGTCTTTTAACAAAATATTTACACACATCAATGGGTTTATAGTGAAATATGTTAATATGATATTATCCAGTATTAAAAATGTGTTAAACTTCGTGTTTTTAAATGCATATACCTGCTATGTTTCAAGTTGCTACAGGAAATAAAAAGAGAAATCAAATTTGCTGATCCAAAATTTTCCGACAACCAACTGACGATTATCACTAAATTTATGTACTCTTTTTTTATATCGACGTCACACTAGTTCTTTATTTGATTACATTTTTTTTTCAGTTTGTTTCAATTTTAACTGTATATTAAGTCGGCACTCCAGTCACGTGACTTCATCCGTGTGACAAGTTCAGAACATAAATATTTTTTCCGTGTGACAATTTCAGAGTATAAATATTTTTTCCGTGCGACAAGATCAGAATATAAATATTTTTTCCGTGTGACAAGTTCAGAATATAAAACCTTTTCGAGAATTATTTTAATGCTATCTAATTTCAAACCCAATTGCTAGTTGTATTTCACTGGAAAAAATTAAAAAAAAACTATTGATCTGTGTAGGTTATTCTTCAAAGTTTCTTAAAAAAGAATTTAGAAGATTTTTCAAGTTGTTTTCTCTATAGTTTATTTTATTTACACTTTTTGACAAGTACATATACTGTAGAAGCCAAAAAAAGCAGTTTAAGCTTTTTTTGGCTTCTAGCACATCAAAAAAGATTATTTAGCTTATTAAATTACAATATTTGATACTTATTTTTATAATAATTTGTTTTTTATATTTGGGCTTAACAATTTAAAAAAAAAACACTTTTTATTATTTTTTTCTATATTTTTCTTGACGCCATTATGGTACTCCGTTCAACCTGCATAGCTAGTTATTTAGGATAAACTGACCTATATGTTGCTGCGTCCTTATTGTGGACAATTTTCAAAAAAAAATTTAATGCAGGGTTGTCTTGATTGCTTTAAAGTAAAAATACAATATTTAGACTTTATAATTTATAAATGTGCAGTTTAAATATGCAAGTACTTATTGACTAGTTAACTGCTTTGAGAACATTTTTATTTAAATTTGATAAATATTATGATTTGTAAACTCGATGTTTGGTATTTTCAAAGTTTTGCTGATTACATCCAAACGAACTCATTCTGAAAACGTCTTTATTATCCGCGTACTTTGGTATTAGTTATAGTCTGAGAAAAAGATAATAGTAAAAGAGTTTCTTTTAATTTTAACTGTAAATTAAGAACTTATTTCAATTTTAACGGTATATTAAGAGTTTCTTTCAATTTTAACTGTTCATTGATAGTTTTATTCAACTTTAATTGTACATTAAGAGTTTCTTTCAATTTTAACTGTACATTAGGAGTTTATTATAATTTTAACAGTAGATTATAAACGGATTTGTATTGTGCAATTAAATACCACAATGCAACTAATAATCCAAAGATTTCTGCTATATTAAAAATGTTTTTTTATAGAAACAAGTTGAAACTCTTTGTTTAAAAATTACATATGTAGTATCCCTACCCAGATTGATGCTCCATTTGGTAATTTAAAAAGCAGCCTAAAGACATCGTCATTATGTCGGGTTACTATTTCTTCAATGGTTCAATAAATTATCTGTTTAAGAAAATATCCACTTTCCATAATTACATCCTGATCGGCATGAGTTCCTGCCGCAATTTTATTTTCCAATTTTGTTAATTTATTTCAAATAATATTTTTATTATAATTTTTTTTTTCAATTTGTTTCTTGCAAAAATATATTTCCTAAGTGATGTTTAAAAACTTAAAATTACTTGTACATGCGGTACATAATTGAAAGCAAACATATTGTAAAATTAGGTATAGTGAAGACTTTTCTTTTCAGTTGACGTAAGCATCAATTGGAATTATTCTAACATATGAACTATTTCAACTCATAAATTATATTTAGTGAGAAGAATTATTTCAATACCTGAATAAACGTTTACGAGTTTATTCTAGATCTTTTCGTTTTTTTATAAAATAGAAAAAAGGTAAATTAAAAATTTCTTCTAAAAAAAAAACGTTTTTACTATTCTATTTTAAACTTTTTGGATAACTACTCACTATAATGTACACACGTGAGCACGCGCACATATAGACACATACTCGCACATACGCGCGTAAACACAAACACATTTATGCAAAGAATATAATGGACATAATAAAGACAAATTTATTTTATTAACGAGCATCTGAAAGAAAGTAGTCTTTAAGTTATTGATAAGAAAGTTTAAAGATAGTTCAAAAAATGCTATATGAAGAAATATTTTGAATATTGTTAAACATTGTTTAATATGCTTAAAAAATATTTATATAACCAAAAAATCTGTTTAGGTTATTTAATAAAATCAATTAAACGTGGATTAAATACTATATAACTTGATATGCCAATTAAATATGTTAAATATAGCGGTTATGTTTTCATTTAATAATACAAGAAACGTTCTAGAGATGTGTGTGCACTGCAATTGTTTTTTAGACGGCTACTAAAGTTTAAATATATTTATATTATGAAAAACGACATTATACTTTTTTATTGTACTGTCAAAATAAAATGTTGTAAGCCTTAATGTAAATAACGTTGTTTTTAAGTTAACTTTCGGTAAAAACAACTTAATAAGTTGAAAACGGAAGAAAATGTTATGGTTATCATAAAAAAATTCCGGGATTACCTCCTTTATTTAGATGAACGGCTCCTAATCTTGTTTTTAAAACATCTATTGATATGTTTTTAAACAATTGATTAAATTTGCTTAGTATTCTCGATTGCTAAACTGTGCTTAAAAAAAATTTATAAACAATCTGTAAATAAATATAAACTAAAGACTTACATAATAATGAATGGTAAAAATAGACGATGAATCTTTTTTATTTTCTTCCAATATATTTTTCTTTTAACACTTGTATGGAGTGCTCAAAGCAAGAAATAGGGAGCGAGATGGTTTTTAGTAATTTTAAAATATCACCAGGTCCAATAATTGCTATGTTCAATGATATATAAAAAATGACGAGATAGTTAATACGTTTTGTAAAGATGGCAGGGCTGCATCCTACTAAATCCTGTTTTTTATTTTAACCACTTTTACGCAGATCACTTGTGTACGCAAGTTTAAAAATACATATTTACTTACTAAACTTATGAGCACTCACTTTTATCTCTGTAAATCGGTCAATGTATACTCTTTAATAGTTATGTAATTCCGGTGATGTATATAAATGTTGTGGTAGTGAATATGCAAAAGCCTTGTCTGATGTCGAGAGTTCTTACAATCAAGCTTAAGCGTGCAAAGTATTTCTCTGCAAACAAATGTTTTCCGCCAAGATTCTATTTTAAGAGTATAGAACTTAAGAGCTGCAAAAAAATGTTAAAATCTTATTTGGGTCTTTTTTTGTTTTGCTGATATTTTTAAAAATAGTTTGACTTGTTTTTATTGAAATACTTGTAATTACTACCTAACGCGATAAAAAAAAAAAAAAAAAAAAAAAAAAAAAAAAAAAACTCATGGAAAATTTCAAATCAGTTTAAAGTTTTAAAATATCAAGTGTTTCTTCTTAATAGTTTTCTTAAAATTTAGATTCTTTCTAAATTCTTCTTTAAATTCTTTCTAAATTCTTTCTAAATTCTTCTTCATACTATGGGGTTCTTTTTAATAGATGATATTTACTTTAGGCTTCAGCATAATGTCAGCATAATTAAGATTAAATATAATTCAAAAACCAAACGTATACCCAGCTAACACAAAACGTTCAAAGAACGTTGTGAACGTTCAAGAACGCTCTATGAACGTTCATAGAACGAGCTCGAAGGTTCGCAACGTTCGTCGAACGCACTTGAACGTTTTGTGTTAGCTGGAATAAACTTTAGTAAAAATATATACATTTAAAGGAAAATATTATAAAAAAACTTTTAAGTATTTTTCTTTTATGACAACAAATTAGTAAAATAATAAGCGCTAAGTAACATCGATTATTTTTTTAAATATCCTCCTTTTGCCTCAACATGAGGTTTTGAAAATTTGCAGCTTTCTTTTGTCAGTAATTTAAAATCTTGAGCACCAAATAATATGCCACTGTTTGAGACATTGCGTTTTACATATATCTTTAAAATATATGTTAAAATATAAATCTATAAATATACATATTTAAAATATATTAAAGTTTATTTAAAATATATGATTTAGTACTAATATTTTTGATAGATAAAAACAGTTAACAGAAAAAGCTCCAACAAATAGAAACATAGCCTTACATAGAAGCAAAATTTGTTTAAATCTAAAACAATTCAGTTTACTGAGGACGTCTTTCAAATTTAAAGATTTTCTAAATTTTAAAAGCTCCGGGTGATAGATAGGATTTCAGTGACCTCCAGCCATGGATTTATAAACTAGTATGTAAAATTAATAGTTTGAAATAAGTTTTTTTTTAATAAAACTTTTATAAAAGTTCTTTAAAGTTAAATTTAAAAAAAAACTTACAACACTTAAATTTATGCAATTTTATGCAAAGAAAAAACGACCCACGCTAAGTAGCCTTCCGACCGCTAGGTACTCTTCCGGTATTTTTAATGCAATATTTTCATTGTGTTTATAATTCAATTAGTGTGTGAATGAACATCTCGAAGTTAATTCAACTTTTGCGTAAACAACTTCTTGTAAACAATTAATTAGCATTTAGGATGTTCCATTGCATATTTTAGAATACGCATATTTTATAATGCTTTTACCACTTGTTCTAAAAATTACTATAAGCACAATTCTTAAGAATGTAAAAATATAACTAATTAGATAAAATCGTTTTCTTAAAAACAAATGTTAAATAGTTCCTCTAATTTATACAAAACGTTTATGCAGTATTTTTATTGCATAATTATAAATGATTTTTAGTGAAAATGAATTCTATAGATTACCTTGCGACTTGCATCATTTAATTTTTTTTTAATCTATGGGTGCCAGTAAGAGCGTTATTCCGTTTCTATGGTTCATAATAATTATTTATAAAAGTTTTCAATGTTAAGGAATGCTTGGATTATTCTAGATAAATAGCGACCTGCCTTGGTAACAGGAAGTCTCATTTTAATTTGCTACAGGGTGCTATTAAGTTTTTCTCAAAAGTAGCGTACTGTACTTTGTAAGGAGTTAATTGTAATAACATACCAAACTTTTTAAATGTGAAAACAAGAATCAGTCTAGTATTGATATTTTGTAGTGATCGTGTACATCATAATCTTTAATTTATTTTAAAAAGTTTTAATCATACTGTCAACGATATTCTTAGATTAATACAGCTTTTACTATTTACTACTCTTTACTAGTTTGACTGAAAAGAACTTAAAATGGCATATTGTGTTTCGATACTTATATTATTCATTATAAACGTACTTGCTGAAAATAAAAACGTAAGTTATAAACAATATTGTTAGTCGTGTAAGTTTTCTTTTTTGTTTTGTTTTGTTAATAGTTTAAAGTTACGCTATACATCGCTTTTGATTCGCAATACTTTGCTTATAAATTTTATTACAAAAACATAGTTTTTTGTTTTTTTTTAGTGTGTGGTTAAACTAGATTCAAAAGCTGGTTATTACGTCAAATGCAGCGGTACTGCTTCAGATGTAAGGTTTTTTTTTTTTAAAAAAAATGCAATTCACCTTTATGAGACCCATTTATTGATTTTTAAATGTTTAAATTAGGAACCAAGCCTAGAAAAAACAATGTCAGAACAGAAGCCTGTTAGAGGTGGAAAAAAAGTTGGTCCTCCTGGACCACCAGGAATGAAAGGCGCAAATGTAAGCTATTTAATATATTATCTTAACTTTAACTGTATAAGTGATATAACTAAATATTAATTTTAAAAAGAAATATATATATATATATATATATATATATATATATATATATATATATATATATATATATATATATATATATATATATATATATATATATATATATACACATATACACAAGTTTTATTAAAATACATTCATAAAGATTATTTGTATTGAAGGAAACTTTTTTTTTTAGTGTTTTTTTTTTGTTTTTTGTTTTTTTTTTTAATTTAAATGTTTAATAATTTATTCAAAAATTTGATTAATCTTGTTTCATTGAATAAATTGAAAGCTAGTTTATTTACTTTTTTTTTGGATCCATTTGAATGCTTCGATTTAATGCGTTGTATACGTATCATTAAATAGTCTAGATAATTAAATTCGTATTATTAGATTACATTTTTTTAAATTGTATTACTGGGTTTGTTAGATTTGAATAATTATTAAAAGTTTCTTTGAATTAGTTTGTTTCACTCAATAAATTACATGAAAACACATTTACTTGGTTTGGATCAATTTGGCTGTAGTGATTAAATGCATGGAACACATCATTAAACAATTTAGATTCATATTATTAGAATAAACCACGGCGATTTGGTTAGAGAAATGGCCTCAGAATTAAGAGGTTTAAAGTATAATGCCTGCTCTAGCCACAGAAGCTTCATTGGAAAGGAAGACGATGTGAAATTTATTGTTAAATGCTCTTTCGCGGTGCTCTGTAATAAGACCGTCAGTGACCTTTGGATCGTAACCTAGAATAATAATAAGAAATAAATGTGATTACATTTTTTTTTTATTGCGTAACTGTGCATGTGAAAATAGTAAAATTTAGATGTATTTGTTTAATTGTAATTGAATATATTTAATACAAACTTTTTAAATATTACGTAATTACTATTTTTAGGGAAAAAACGGATTAAATGGTGCTAAAGGAGATGAAGGACCTATTGGACCGGTAAAATATTTTTTTAACTTATATATCACTATCATATGATTGGCTATCTTATCTTTATAGTTGTTACTTGCTAGTATTTTGTTCCCAACATTGTTACGGTGTAAATGTCAATATTATTTTCTTAATTTTATTGAATGACAAAAACTAATTTATTTACTAATACACTCTACATCCTTATAATCTTGCTAAAATTAATGCTACTACTGCACTCTTTCTTGATCTTGGAATACCTTGTTGTTTGATATAATTACTAAGCCTGGTGCTTCTTGTTTGTATTCTTTCTAATTTTCAATCCAACTTAACTTTAACTATGGGATAATTATTTGACAAAAACTTAGCAGTAAGCAGATGCCTGATAATTTTGGGTTCTTGTCTAGTCTGATCTTTTTTATTCTATAGTCGACTAGTCAAGAATACTTGATTTTTAATGTCATTGAGTACTTTGATAAATATATTCTTAATTTATTTTCTAATATCTAATATTTAAAATCATGTTCAATTTCTTTTTTCCATAATACTACTTTTTTGCATAAACATCCTAACTTTCACATATATATTTTCTCAATTTTTACGTAATCATTATATTAAACGCCTTAAGTGCTTTATGAGATAAGAAAATCAAAAATTCATATCTTTCTTAATAACACAAAGATTCTATTTTAAAATCTTAAAAGTAAATAATTAAAAAATTAGTACATGAAGACATTTTGAATCGTAAACATAAATATCAATTACTGAACAGTCGCTAGAGTAATGACAAGGGTCTTTGGCTTAATAAATTGCACTGTTTTACTTATTTATACAATTACTTTTTTAGGTTGGTCCACCAGGACTACCTGGACCTAGAGGCTTAATGGGATTTCCTGGAATAAAAGGAGATCAGGTAAAAATACTTTTGTTTCATATAATACATTACTTTATTTAGCATAAAATTTATTGTTTGTTTCTATTTAGGGCCTTATTGGAAATCCTGGTGCTCCAGGTGAACCTGGTTTACCTGGAAATTGCATAACATCTGAAAAGGTTGAAAACAAAGATAAATATATTTGTACGCAAGGTCCACGTGGGCCACAAGGTGTTCAAGGTTATCCAGGAGTTCAAGGTGAAAGAGGATTGCAAGGAGCCCCAGGAAATAACGGAGAAAAAGGAGAAAAAGGCGAAAGAGGAAGAATGGGAGCTGTTGGAATGCCGGGACTACCGGGATCAGTTGGAGCTATAAAGTGTGAATCAAATTACACACCATGGGGAGCCAGGTATTTAGAGGAAAGAAGTTCACTTGAAGAAATTATGTGTCCATACGGAAATTTTTTGCAAGGATTCAAACTGGAGACTGATAGTTTAAGAGAAAGATACAAGTACGTTTGTTGCGAAATTTCATAGTGTGCTTGAAATTTCATAATGCGGTTTTATCAAAAATATGAACAAAAAGAAAATACTTTATGCATGCAACTGAGAAATTGCTTCATAAAGTTAGCTATAAAACCTATTGTAAACGAAAAGAGGGAGTGAAAAAACTATTCTTGATTCATATATCTAAGTTTATCCAAAAATTATTGAAGAATAATAACTTATATCTAAATCACTTTTTTTAAAACAGAAACAGTTTATAAATAGAAAAAAATAGAAGAAAATAAACAACAAATAGCTCGTCAACTTTATATAAATTTATTTTGAATTAGTGATAGATAGTATTGCAGTTAATATGGTGTGTTATTTTATAACAATCAATACAGATTAATCAGAGCAATCAAGACAGACTCATATGTATATATAAAACTTGGTATCATTGTTTTTAAATTTAAAAAAATATTAATTTATTAATGTAGTATTTTGAAAAGAAATATAAATTTTTTAAAAATTTTAGAAATATTTATTGTATCTTTGTAAGAGTTTCAAAATCTTTTATACTCGTTGGAAGTTATTTTAAAACCACTTAACATATTTTCTTGCATTTAACTCTTACTTCTTTACCAGTGATCCATGACGGATCCAAGAGGGATATGGAGGTATGCAATAACCCCCCCCCCACCACCACCACCACCACCACCACCAGAATCTGAAAATTCTAAAATATCTTAGAAATTGAGGATCGTTTCTTATTCTTTTTATTTAGGGTTCATCCATATATTACGTACGCAAAAATCTCCAGATTTTGACTAAGTCCTTCCCCCTTATTGCACCTTGTACATTTTGATACTCCTCTTCTCCATGCGAACGTACGCTTGGTGGTCTAACCCCTACCCACGGCTGTCTTATCACCTTTCCCCCCCCCCCTCCTCCTCCTCTGCCGATATAAATTTTATATGCTTAGTGGTCTAACCCCCTCCCCCCCAAAATACAAAAATATTTCGACATCAACAAGTTGATAAAAAATTTTTTATACTATTCTCAATTAGACTTATATTTATCAATAAATTTTAAGTTTCATAGTATTATCTTTCAGCGTTCGAAATTTATGACCATATAAAGTTTAAACCCTCCTCAATTTGAGGGTGTTACAAATTTTATGTGGTCATAACTTTTGAACGCTAAGAGATAATACTATGAAACTTAAAATTTATCAATGAATATAAGTCTAGTTGAGAACAGTGCAAAAAATATTTTATCAACTTATTGCCCCTCACGTTTGGAGGGGGAGGGGATGAAGTTAAAAGGATTTTTCATTCCCAGCCTCCAATCATCGTATTTTTTGCATAGCCTCATTATTTGACATAATTGTAAACATACAAATGTTTGGAGTTTGCTCCATGTCTGGAAGTTAGCTATTTCAATCGCCAAAAAATCCTGGATCCGTCACTGTTAAAATACACTATTATAAAATTCTATAGTAAGTAATTTTTTTAAAGTTTAAAAAAAATTCAGTTTTTACTATTTTTTTGTGGTTGACCTTCCACTTCTATTTTTAACATTTATTTAAAGATTAGAAATCTTTACGTGTAAAGTTACGCAACTTTTTGTTAAAAATTAGGCAATTTAAATTTTGATTGGATAACTTTGTGTTATAATTAATAAAAGTTGCGTTTTAACAAAAGTAATTTTTACTTACTCGGTGGATTTAAGGCAATTTTAAAATATTAGAGCGTCTGTATGATGTTTTTCGATTACAACATATCTCCGTTAAATGATCTGATCTGTGGTTTATGAAAAGACGAAAAAAATTAAAATATATCTTAATTTTTTTTATATTTTAATTTTTTAACATTTATATTTTATGATACCGCAAAATCTATTAATAGATTTTGCGGTATCATAAAATATAGATGTTTGTAGCGGAAAAACCCAGACCTAAGATTCTTTTTTTTAAAAAAAATCACAATCGCTCGTCCAAATTTAAATAAGATTTTAAAAAAATACGTTATTTAGGTGAAATGAACATCATAGTTTAATAATATGATCTGTTAAATCTGTTCTAAATTATAAGCTCTTCCTTGGTCGGAATCCTAGTATTTTTTGTGAAAATTGATAGAAGTATTGTGTTTTGACAACTATATATAGTTAATATACGTCAGAACCAATTAGAACTAGGATCTATAGTGAGTTAAGGAACTTTTTCAAAAGATTTTTATTAAGTTCATGATAACACCGATGAGCGAAATTGATCTAAGGTCTCCAAAATGGTGTTCTTTAGATACACTGTTACGGGTAGTAAAAAGGTTTTGAAATTTTTACAAAAAAAAGAAAAGTTTCTTTAAATATTGGAAAAATCTGAAGCAAAATAAATTATAACATCTAAAGCTCTTGTTTATACATAATACGCTGATAAAATCATGCTAATTTCAAATAAAAGAATTCGAATAATTTTGATTTCGCTACCGAATAGTGAAACTTTGTTTTCACAAGAAAAAAGTTTTCTCAAAGTACTGTTGCGGGAAGTAACTCCTTTTAACTACTCCAGGTCAGGTCAGAATAATCGAGACCAATCTTGCTACTGGTATCACGTAACCCAGTACCACCTGCCACAAGCCCTGCTGCCTTGCAGAGTGTGCTCTTCATAGGCAAAGGCTAGGAGAAATAAACTCCGACTAAAAATTCCCCTGCCTTGGGGCTCTTGGTTGAGTAAAGGCTAGAGATGGTGTCTCGATAAAAACACTCATCTTGGGCAGATGTTAACTGCATCCAGCTAAACATCCCCTGCCTTGGGGCTCTTGGTTGAGTAAAGGCTAGAGATGGTGTCTCGATAAAAATACTCATCTTGGGCAGATGTTAACTGCATCCAGCTACTGTCTTGTAGAAGGCCTCCTAGGCAAAGACTTTAGGGGTAAACAGAAAAATTCTGCCTCGAATCCCTTCTTCATCTATTAGGCTGGCGTAGATGTAACCTGTGTTACATTGTTTCCTGCCTAGAATGACGAATGCTGGATCTCCTTGACTCTACCCATAGAACTTTGCTTATGTCTCCTTGATAATGGCTATGCAACTCGTCCTGTTATCTCCATATGAGGGTACAGCTCTAAAACTCAGTTTAATGGTTCTGAGGCCGGCTGGTAGTAAGGTTTCCCGAACTCTGTGGTAGCTCTCAGAGAATCTGATTCCATCAACAGCTGCAAAATATCAGAGTATTAACAGTGCCATGTTGCGCATGGATGGTGTCCCTGTTAATGCTTTTGGTGTGCATTGTCAAGGTCACATAAGGAGCCCTATGTCACGGCTTAGGGTTAATTAACAGGACTGAGACAACTGCATAGCTCATTGATTAGGAGGCTGTGCTCTATCTATGAATGAGTCAAGTTCTCATTAAACCCAAATCATGACCAAAGTAACCAAAAATTTAAAACCTAAAAAACCATCCCCACCACCTAAATATTTTAATATATCTTTTACAAATATTCGCGGTCTACGAAGCAACTTTCCATCAGTTGAGTCTTACCTCCTGTAAAATTCACCAGACTTGCTTGCACTCAGTGAAACAAATTTAAATTCTGCAATTCCTTCTTCAGATGTCAGTGTTGATGGGTACTATCCTTTGATTCGTAAAGACTCCAATAGTCACATGCTAGGTTTAGGGGTATACATACGCATTAATTCCCCTATTTGTCGTGAAATCAGGTTCGAATCCTTTGACCATTCTTTTATGTGCTTTCGCCTAGCACCTCTTCACTCTAACACCTTTCTCTTTGTTCTTTATCGTTCTCCTTCTTCCCATGATTGCACTCTCTTAGATGTTATCTCTGATCAAATTGACCATGCCCTCTCTTATTACCCCTCTGCCAATATTGTTGTTGTTGGTGATTTTAATGCCCATCTAACTGAATGGCTTGGCTCTAACACCACTGATCCTGCTGGCACTAAAGCCTTTAACTTCTGCGTTTCTCAATCTCTTACTCAGATAGTTAACTTTGTGACTCGTTTTCCTGACAACCCTAATCATTTACCTTCACTCCTTGACTTATGTCTTGTCTCTGACCCTAGCTTATGTTCAGTTTCTCCCTTTTCTTCCTTAGGTGGTTCTGACCATGCAATGATTTCTATAAATCTTTCTTCTCGTACTTCTTTTTTGGGCTCACCTTATCATCGCACCACCTACTACTACCCTAAAGCTGACTGGGATTCCTTTCGTGATTTTCTTTGTGATGGTCCTTGGGCTGATGTTTTTTCTCTCTCAGCTGACAAATGCGCCTCCTACATAACCTCCTGAATTCAGGCTGGAATGGAAGCTTTTATTCCTTCTTGTCGGTTTCAAGTCAAGCCTCATTCTACTCCATGGTTTTCTCCTTCTTGTGCGGCTGCTATATCCAATCGTAATCATTTTTTTCATCTTTTTCAAAAGAACAACTCTCTTGAGAACAAACGGGTATTTATTATTGCAAGAAATCGATGTAAAAAGGTGCTTTCTGATGCTAAACTCCATTATTCTCAGTTCACTAAATCTCGCATTTTATCACAGAAGTTAGGCTCTAAAGACTTTTGGAAAATCTTCAACAACATTATTAACAAGGGTAAATCTAACATTCCATCATTCATGGGACTGATCTTATTACCTCTCCCAAGGATAAGGCAGAACTATTTGCAAAGAACTTTTCTTCTAATTTCACTCTTGAATCTTATGGACATTCTCTTCCTTCCATTCCAGTCAAACAGGTTGACCCATTGTTAGACATTCAAATCACTCCGGCTTCTGTTGCTAAAGTCATATTTTAATTAAACTCGTCTACAGCTTGTGGTCCAGCCAACATTCCTGTCACAGTCTTGCAGTATTGTTCTCCAGAACTTTCTTCAATTCTCTCTAAACTATTTAACAAGTGTTTGACTGAGTCTTGTTTTTCTACTTATTGATAAATGGCATCTGTGGTTCCAATATTCAAAAACTCTGGAGAAAATTCTGACCCTTCCAATTATCATCCGATCAGCCTTCTTTCTGTGATTAGCAAGGTCTTTGAGTCTTTGATCAACAAATTCCTCACATCTCATCTTGAGTCAAATAAACTACTGTCAGACAATCAATACGGTTTTCGATCCTCTCGCTCTACGGCTGACTTACTAACTGCTGTAACTGAAAGATTTTATCGTGCATTAGATGGAGGCAGTGAGGCTAGGGCTATTTCTCTCGACATATCTAAAGCTTTCGACAAAGTTTGGCATGCTGGTCTTCTCCATAAGCTTGCTTCATATGGTGTTTCTGGGAAAGTTTTTGAGATTATCAAATCATTTCTTTCTAACCGGTTTATTAAAGTCATCCTTGAAGGCCAACACTCTTCTTTATTTCCAGTAACTTCTGGGGTTCCCCAAGGTTCCATCTTGGGCCCTGTTTTGTTTCTTATCTACATAAACGATCTTCCTGACAACCTTTCATCTAAAGTAGCTCTTTTTGCTGATGAACAAGCAGCTGATCTTGAATCTGATCTTACTTTAGT